ACACACACACACACACACACACACACACACACACACACACATACACACACACGCATATACAGATTCAGTGCATTACTTGTTTTATTGCTAACAGAAGGGTCAGCAGTTTGCACCCACTCGTCTCTCCAAGAGAGAAAGATAGGAAATCTCCAGTAAAGATTTCCATTCTCAGAAACCCTACAGAGGATCACTGTGGGTCAGAATCGACTTCACTGTCAGTGATTTTATATAGACACATGCAAAAATTACCCGTTAGCCTTAGTGCACAATTCACTGGCATTATCATATTCATTGTGTTGTGGGACATCCCAGCACCACTGTCCATTCCCAGGAGCGTTTCCTCTCCCAGCAGAAGCTAGTGCCCCTCAGTGATAATGCCCACTTCCCCTGCCAACAACTTGTAAGCCCTGGGCATTTACCCAACATAGATAGTTCACGTAACTGGTGCCATATTATTAAAACAAAAGTGACTTTAAGTTGATAATAGGATTCATGGGAGTTTACTGGCTATACAATTGGCATTCAGGGTAACCTTTCTGCTGGAGATGATGAGAGACCCTCACAAGGTCCACTCACCCACGTGGCTCTGAGGGAAGGGTCAGACAGAGCTGACCTGCAGACCATTGTCTGACTTAAGAATGACTTTTGGAACCGACCTGCAGCTCACCCTCCAGCAGGTTTGCAGCGGCAATAAATCACATGGGAAGACATTGCCCATCCTTCTCCCCCGGAGCACTGATGGATTCAAACCACGTGCCTTTCACATTGCACTGCAGCTTCTTACCACTGGGCCACCAGAGCCCCCTACTTCCCACTTGAAAGCGCAAAATGGGGGTTCCAGGAGAATGAAGGTTTCTTTATACACAGCCTGCTCCTTTGTGTTTGACTTCATTCAGGCAGCGCTCTTTCCAGGGTTCACCTGTGTGGTAGGAAAAGGCAGTTTTAAAGAGCAGCCCTTCTTTTTTTCTTTTCACAAACAAGATTTTGCCTCTCTCTCTCTCTCTCTGTTAAATAAACAAACTTAACTTGCAATGTTACTGCAATTTCTTATGTAAATATTATTCTTAGGGCAATGCTAGCTGTGTTTAAACAAACTGTGGATTGTTTCCTCAGGCACGCTGACCCTGGGGCCGTCAGCCTCTGGCTGATGTGACCAGGGACACGAGAGCTTGAGGGGTGCCCTCAGGACTCACAGGACACTCTTGGGGGAGGACATGCAGGGCATTTTTCTGGCATAGTTCTTAGTATCCCATGGCTCCCTCAGCATTAGCTACTTCAGGAATTTGTCAGCTCTTTGCGTGATTTTCAACACTTCGGGGAAACCAGAGGGGGACAGATGGAGGAGAGAGGGGCTTTGTCTTAAAGATCAGGGCTGGGCTTATTTGGAGGAGGCCGTGTCAGCAGGATGTGGACCCGCAGGTGCAGAGCAGCTGGGGCGGTGTGGGCGATGCTGAAATTGTTGATGGTGCCTTTGGGCCCTGGGAATCTTGGGAAAAGAATTTGATCTACTTTCTAACCCTATGGAGCTCTCATGGCCTAGTGGTAAAGAGCTGCACTGACAACCCAAAGGCACTCGGTTCGAATCTACCAGCCACTCTGCAGGAGAAAGATGGGCAGTCTCCTCCTGTGACGTTTACTGCCTCAGAAAACCTGCTGGAGTGTCAGCAGGGTCAGCTGCCAAGTGACGGTACCCACAACAGCCACCACGCACGTCCCAATACCAGGACATAAGAGAGAAGCTCTTCTAACTCTGAGAGTAAATTCACCATTATTTCAAGTATTTGGGGGCGTCTGTTTCTTCCTCACCGTCTCAGCCTCGAGGAGGCAGCCTCCTCTGCAGAGAGTGGCTGGATCGTCATACTTTGTCCAGGTCTTAACCCACCCTTTCCTTCCTTGGCGGCTAGTCTCTCCAGCCTCACACGCTTACCAGTTAAAGAATATAACATATAGACTGAGGAGATTTTAGACAGTATGCAAAGGAAACAAACAAAAAAACAAACAAAACACCAATAATCTCTCACTCAGGAAATCAAATCCAAGCCCCACTGCCCAATAGTCCATTGTGACTCCTAGAAACCCTGTAGGCCAGAGAAGCACTGCCCGGCAGAGTTTCTGACAGCGGCCTGTGCAGGAGCAGACCGCCACATCTTTCTCCCGTGCAGCAGCTGGTGGATTCACACTGCTGACCTTTTGGTTGGTCACCTCCCAGGTGTTTAGTAACTCTTGCATTACCAAGGTGGCACTCTCACTCAGAACTGTTATTTGTATTTCAGTATATTTGTTTCCAGACATTTTCTTAATGTAGATAAATGTGTTAAGCAGTGTGTGTGTGTGTGTGTGTGTGTGTGTGTGTGTGTGTGTGTGTGTGTTTGAGAGAGAGAGAGCACATTTTCTTAATGTAGGTAAATTAATCAGGGTGTGTGGCGGGGGTGGAGAGAGAGAGAGATGTGGGAATAGGGAAGAGAAAATGCAATGTTTGAATGTGACACTCTCTTGCTGCTTCTGGATCAGAATTTCCCTTCTCTCTCTTTCTCTCTTTGTTACCTCTTTCTCTTCCTCCTGCCTGCCTGTTTTCTTCCTTTGTTTTCTGAGAACAAATGCTCTATTTATACGAGGAGCTGGGGTGGAAAGTTTCTTGCCTCCTGGCCCTCAGCTGAGTAGAAATAGTTCATCAGGCCCGCGTTTGTTGAGCCCCTAGCACCGTGGCTGGGAGCTGAGCCTCTGCCACCAATGCCCCGCTGTGAAGGGTGGAGACCCCACACCCACCATCTGGAAGTGTGTTTCTTGTCCAAGAAGTGAGGCATTACCTGCACTGATGGTGCTGAGGAGGAGGAGGGCAGGCCGGCCGTCATCACCTGGCAGCTGTGGTACCGTGATGACTCAGTGATGCTGGAAGCTAGGCCCCAGACACCTCAGACAGCAGCGGGGTCCCCCACGGTGATGTTTCAGGGGAGTATCCAGGTCAAGGAAGGTCTGAATAAAGGCCTGCTGATCCATTTCTGAGAACTAACCAGGGAAAACCCTACAGACCAAGTAGAGCATTGTCCAACTTGCTCGCTTCGGACACGTGCCATCGGGAAGGGTCAGTGGGAGGACATCACGCTTGGTGAAGTCGAGGGCCGGTGAGGCGGGGGCAGACCTCAGGTGAGGTGCATGGGACAGTTGCTGCCATGACAGACAGGAACATGCTGGTGATGGGAAGGGTGACCCAGACGCTTGGCTTTGTTGGAGATAGGATCACACGCATCATGCTGACGGATGGAGCGGGTGGTAGTTGACGACCAGCCAGTCACGGGTTTGTCTGCTGTATCTGTCATCAGCTGCTCTGGTACAGGTAAGCCAGAACCACAGCACATACCAGTTCACAGCTTCTGTGGGTCGGAGAGCAGAAGCTTCCGTTTCAGAGACGCTCACAGGCTGCAGGCCAGGTGGTGGCCAGGGCTGGGTCCCATCTGAGGCTTTCCTGGGCAGAATTCCATCTCTCAGGTGCTGCCGAGATGAGTTTCTATTCCTTGGGTGCTGTTGGATGGAGGCTACCCTCAGCTTCTTGCCAAGTGGGCCTCTCCAGCACGACGCCTACTCCATCCGAACCAGCAGCGGGTGCATCTGCCAGCTGGGGAGAAGTCACAGTCTTTTATCCCTGAGTCACCGCGTGACATCCTGTTACCTTGGCTGGTTTTTGTGGTCCCCTGGTGCAGCCTGCACTCAGGAGGGAACTGCATGGCCCAGATGTAGGCCAACTTTGGGATCTTCTACCCTGGCAGTCACTTACCCATTAATTCTCTGTTTTCTCTGATTGCTGTGGACACGGGGCCCCGCCCTGTAGCAGGAGAGGCTCCCCTTCCGCC